CGGGTTTAGCGGGTTTAGCGGGTTTAGCGGGTTTAGCGGGTTTAGCGGGTTTAGCGGGTTTAGCGGGTTTAGCGGGTTTAGCGGGTTTAGCGGGTTTAGCGGGTTTAGCGGGTTTAGCGGGTTTAGCGGAGCGCAGTCGCCCTTTGCGCGCGCAATGGAGAATTCGCTGAATTCGCTGAAGTGTCAAACATGGATTACATATTTCTTCGAACTCATACGCACAAACCATGAAGTCTTTCAGATGATGCAAGCGGAATAACATTATTGCAAGACGTGATTATACTACGATAAGTGTACCGGCCCAAGAGCAGTCGAGCGTAAACTTCGAGGATGGTAGCAACATACCTAAGATCTCAACTGACCGACGGTGTGGATGGCCTCCGAGAAATTTGAAGTAGAAAGCAGTTGTTATTGGTATATGTGCTAGATTGAAATTTTGTCAGAAGCGAGATGAAAGGCTTCCGTTGCATCTTGACAACCCTTCCTGCGATTCTAGATCGCACGTACATGAATCAAGCAATGACCACCATGTCAGTATTGAGATATTCTCCATGTCATGGACCAAAGAAAGTAAATGCAAAGCGGTGTATGCTTCTGCAACTTCGCAAGGCAGCCAGCGTCAAGCAGCAGCAGCAGCAGCAGCAGCAGCAGCAGCAGCAGCAGCAATCTGCTCTGCCATTGATTTCTTGCATCCATGATCCACATCTCGCGTGTTTTCGTGCATGCCATGTGCTGCTATCTATCATTCTCGCTGCCCGATTTTGCCAGCTATGCTGCGGCAGCAGCAGCTGCTTGCCTGCGTCTGCATTGTCTTGCGCCTCAAGTTTTCTATGTGCCAGGTGCCCTGCAAAGAAGAGGCTGGCCTTTTGCATGATTTGCATATCAATTTGCATCGCACAGTGTCGCATTCGGGTAGCACCTCATGAGTTCCTTTGGCTTTGTACCAAGCATCTTTGCAAGTGTGATGCAGGACTTGCCAATCAGCTTTTGCCGACTCAAGGCTGTATGCGATCACTTGCAGGTACCACTCAGGAGCCGGTTGCATTGCAGCAGAGGGTTGCAGATAAACCCAAAAACTGCGAGATTAGTAAGCTGCAGCAATTTGAAATCGCTTTGCAGGAGCAGGTCCCATTGATAATGAGTGCTCAGGCAAGAACAGAACTCATGCTGGCGAAACAGCAGCTACGGACAGCCAGGGTGGAGCTCAGCACCCTGGTTGGACAACAAAGCGTTGCGGTCCGCGAAGGCCAGCTTGAGAAATTTTGCACGTCCGCGAAGGCCACGTTCAAAGGCTTGACCAGCAAAGCGGAGTACTGGCCCAATTATGTGAAGATTGCTAGTGAAGTCGAACAAGAACTAGCAATTATAGCAGAGCAGGAGAAAAGCGAACCTGCCTGGCAATTACAAAGGCTGAACGAGCCGAATGTTCATCCAGCTGATCTGTCAGGCAAGAGTTTGCACAAAAACAAGAAAGAGACCAATCAGCTGCAACAGAATGACAGCCTCGCTAACGAAGCATTCCGAAAGGTCAAGGGCCGTAGTTGTCAAGCCATAGCGGTGGGAACCCAGCGAGGCAGCTGAACACATCCCTCGAAGCCAGATCCAGCCAGATCCATTTGCGCATGTGTCGTGCCTGCGCATGTACACATGGACAGTACCTTTTGTGACCGTTTGATGAAGTTAAAATTGATATTTGAAAGCTTGAGAAGTGTTGTTCTTCCAGCTGCCAAATTAAGTCCTGCATACCTGCTTATCCGGCATACATGTCGGCGCTGCTTGCGCCAGCGATATTTCCTGCAGAGGAGTTCGAGCGCGCTTCTGTCTGTGCTCCAACAGCCGAGAGATAACCCAAGCAGCGAGGATGGGGGTTTTGGGGGCTCTGCTTCGTTTATGCCTTACGGAGGTTCGCTAAGTCTGAGGCACGCAGGCTGTTACACGAGCCACACGGGCTTTCGGGTGTCATCCACCAAGCTTTGGGTACGCTACGGGAGCAGCTTTGGTGGCTGGTTGTGATACAGCCGCAGTCAGAATCCCGGGAGGAAAACGCAGTGTGTGCAAGTCGTAGCAGCTCCCCCTTCGTCTTATGTTGGCTTACAGTACTACCTGGCACTAATGCAAGGAGGAGCATCCAAATCATTGCTGTCTGGAAGTGTGCCTTGGTCTGGACCTGGTACGTGTTTGGAATGTGTCCGCAGATGTGAGAAGAGTTCCAGGGAGCGCGGGAGGATTTAAGGCAGGGGGCATCTTGCTCCAGAAGATGGACCCTGATGGTGGTGTTTTGGTACCGGAGAGGGAGATACGGACATCTAAGGCTGTGTTGCTGTCCATCAGCTCGGAGCATCGTTGCCCGAAATGTGGGTGATGAAAGCCCCGAAGCTGACAGTGACAGGCCACAGAATTGTGAAAGGCTGACGTTGCAGCCTGCATTGGCGTTGGCCATTTCTGGAGGCTTATCCCGCTGCGTGTGGCCATCAGCTGCCTGACGCCCCGCGATGTGAAACGCACGAAGGCTCGTCAAAGCTGTTTTTCAAACCTTTCAGTCCTTGCGCTCCTGTGTCGTCGTTGTTGGTGCTGTTCTTGCTCGACTTGTTCTAGGCGATGCGCTCTAATGAGCAGTGGTTGTTGTCTTGACAGGAGGGTTTAGCACTTCACTGAAAGTTGTCAGCTTGATTTCGTTCAAGCCGTGCAGAAACTGCAATGCCTTGTCACATCTTCTCACAAATCGCTTGCATTGATCAGGCGGAGGGCTTCTTCCAGCGCTTGCGCCGCTGTCTTCCCTGCCAGGGGTCTGGAAGCGGCTCAGGCGGAGGGAGAGATTTTGCCGGGTAGCTTCAGGTTTCTTGAGAGAGACTCCAAAACGCTCGAGGCCCCTGAGCCCCAAAGTGCGGGCCGCAACCATACACACTTACATACTGCTCTGGAGGCGCGAGCGGCTCTGAGGACTCCACACAGGACTGCTTGGAAGAAAGCACATAGCAGGTTTAGCTCATCTGGCATTCAATTCGTCTCGCGTGCTTTGTCAGTCTGGTGGCGAGTCAGAACCGACGACCGTGACACCTGAGCTGCCGGAGCTGCCTGCAGCGGTGCCTGGGCTCATGCTGTTTGCAAGCGCTTAGCGCTTCCCTTTTGCATCTCCAAGTTTTCGAAGGTGTTGCGTCGGCGACGATTCCGCGCAACCGAAAGATGCTTCAGCAAGCACCAGCCACAAGGACAGCGTAACACGAGAGAGGACGTGGTGTAATGATCTATGATATATATGGTGCAGCAGTGCAGATTGCTTAGCAGGCTGCCCCCTCTGTGCATCCTCGTTCCGTTCGTGGCCGCTGGGCAGTGAGCCCTGAGCTGAAAGGTTACAAGTGAAGCCTCATGGAATCTCCTCCAGTTGCCATCGTAAGCCATGCTTCTAGTGGGGACATATTTAGGATATTAGGGTGTCGCAGCCAAAGTGCTGTGTCGTTGTTCCACATGACATGTCCTTTGCCTGGCATTGGTCGAAACACGTCCTGACTTGCAGCACATGCTGGTGACACTAGTGGACGTCAATCAGAGAGGCTGGCATAGCGGCCCCTTCTGTTTTTGTTTGTCTGTTACAGCCAGGCGGCCATGGCATCTGAGAGGAGTCAGCAGCTGCCATCAGTGGACCAGGGTGCAGAAAAAAGGCTTTCATGCCTTGGCCTCCTCTCTGGTCCTCGCTCACCCTCATTCGTTCCCCAGGTTCAGGGATGAGTTTTTCCGAGTGTGAAGCCCGATTCCCACTGATTGGCTCAAGGAAGTGCTACTTCCTTCCGTGTCGTTGTCTAGAACTATCCTTCCATGTCGGTCGCCAACCAACAGGCGGCTCTCTGAAAAGAGATTCTTGGCAACAACTGTGCAGACCGCAATCCCGGCAGAACTGGTACTGGGTCATGTCTTGACTATGCTCTATGCTCCTAGGCTGGCTGGTGTTCCTTGAGCAGTGACTCCTCGCAGCTCGGCGACCCTCGCAAGAATTCATACCCTCCAGTGTGGGATTTGTATCCATTCTTGCCTGACAGGGTTCCGCATGTCTCGTTTCAGTGAGTTTGCAGGTGTTTGCGCTAAATGCGATGCGATTCCTAGCAGCTTTCACGCTTACGCTACTTGATGGCAGATGGACACTACATGTTATGGTCAGACTTGACCAGTTAATGGATACAGAAGTGCCGCAAGACGTTCCTGGCCCAGGCTTTCGCTCACAGTCATTGCGTTAGACCAGGATGGTTTGGACATGCTCAATTGGTCTCGTAATGTTTTGTACCTGTTGTATTTGCAGGACGGCCGTGGCCGTCCCCACCGTGTCGCTCTGGAAGCCGCCGAGGAATCAGAATCTGAGGCCAATCATGACTGTCACGGAAGGCCAGTGGGCTCCTTTTTGCGAACATGTGTTGGGTGGAAGGTCAGCGGAAAGCCTGGCCGATCACATGTCTCAAAGGCTGGTGCAGCTGCCTGAAGTGTGATATGATGTGACACATTTTTTTGCTCATGTGATATCAGGCTCGGCATCCGGTCAGGTGCCTTGGCAAACATTTGGCATACCGTGCTCAGAGAATGTTCATGTGTGTTCACATGAAACAGAGCAGGTGACCTCAAGCTTTCTAGAACAGGTGGTGTTGCATCTGCCCTCCACATGAGCCACTGAGGAGGGGAACTCGCAAGCAAACAACGAAGGCAACGAAGCCATTGAAGGAAACGCATGCGGCGAAGGATGGCCACGGGTCAGCGAAGGCTTGGACAGTGGAGCCGAGCTTGCCTTTTCTGGTGTCGCTCTGTCCTTGTGAGGCCAAGCTTGCTCGGAAGGCAGCTACAGAGGCAGTGGCATACATGGGCTGTAGAAGATATGCAGAGATGTGTACAGGGAAGACGCAAGTGTCTTGAAAGGGATCCTGCAACACATTGCTTGATGCCTTTCTTGGCAAAGGTGAGTTCACAAGGGCGCTTGAGCCAGCACCAGGCTCATTCCAGCCACTGGTCTAGCCGGTGACTTGCTTGAATTTCCGGCCCACAGCTGCTAAGACAATCCCGAACAGCTGTCCCCAGAATGGCATTTGATGTGGCACCAGTATTGTTCTGCCGATGGCTTGCGCCCTGGCGCATTCTTTTAGCGCTGCAACTTGCAGCTGTTTGTTCTTAGATCTTACGGTATGTGATATCATTAGTGAATTCGCTGTTTGGGTGTATATCTGACCTTGTAGACTCCCGATTGTTAGACAATATCGTTGTTCTTTCAGAGGCGTTCACCGAAATACAACATCACAAGGTCCCATCACCGCAGCAGGAACGCAAAACTAAATCTTGCCAGTAGCAGCATGCTTCTCGTTCAATCAACATAGCATTGTTTTGGGCCGCATGGCTGCCTGGCATTTCATCTCCATGTAACGCATGAAGTCTGTAGGCACGGCCAGGGCTTGCGGTCGCAGGACTATGCCTAGTCTGTTTGAGGTTGAACCTTTAAGAGCCATGAACCTCCGCACGCGAGATGTTCTTGTAGTCCGCATGTCTCGGAGTGATGCGTTCGGCCGAGGCCGCATCATGCCAACAGCTTGATGGAGGCCAGGACCCCACTTCCACAGAACCGTGGAGGGGGTGTCTATGCTCTGTGCAGGTCAAAGTGCCCCAAGTCATGGACGACTTTCCTGTGACCTTCTTTCAGGAAGAATCGGAACAGGTGGGCTTCAGTAGAAATTTTGAATCATCTCGATTCGCGAGATATGGGGGATGTGTTTCCAACTCAGGGGCCATTCCACCCAGCCAGAGAAAGACTTCACGAGCCTTAGATGTTGATCTCTTGCGGTGACCCGTGGCCCGCAGCTACACTGTCTGAATCTAAGGAACGGGAAGGCTCCGGTATGGAGGTTGAAGTAGCAAAGCTCTCAGATGCACCCGACGACACATGACTGCAATTGAGTCCATAAAGGAGGCTTTTGCAGGGATTTTGCAAGTAATGCCGTCCCCTGATAGCACACCCGCTCCCCCACTCCGCCGCATCCCCCCGTAATACCAAAATTCCCGGCTCCAAGCTTTCTGACAGTGGCCACCTTTTTTGTGCTCCAAAGGTTCACAGAAGATCACAGAAGCCTCAAAATGCGAAGTAACATTAATGGACATCAGTTTCAATTGATTAACACATTCCTGGACCTTGAAGAGTCAAATGAGGTTGAGATGTGCCTAACTTCCCGGAAGCTCAAAACCCTTCTGCGCAACTAAAGCTCCTCTTCGCAGCAGTAGGTCACGCAATCATTTTGAATATGGGTGGGGGTATACCAACGGGGAAACTTGTCGAAGTCTTGTCGAGAGCGCGTAGACGGATACATGGTTACCTCTTCAGGATGAAGCTGAGCAAATGCCTTTGCTACTTGATAGGATGATGCTATCAGTAGCCAATTTCTGGGGGTCCATCATCGAAACAGTGGCCCTGCCTCAGACTTCAGAGCTTTCCAGAAACACGCCTGATCAGGAGAGCGAGGATTATGGCCAGGCCAGGCCATGAGGCAGCAAATCAAAAGCAAACTTCATGATTTTCCACTTTGGGAGGAAGATGAGGAAGCCCCAACTGAAGACCAAGCCTGTACCTCAGGTATCAGTTCAGGAGTTTCAATTAGTTGACTTTTCAATGGACTCGTTGATGGTAGCTAAGCAGACTTGCCCGAAACAGCCAGCCTTTCCAACGCCCGATTGTGTGTCACTGCCCTTGCGCCAGTGTGCCTTCGAGATTTCCTTTTGCAGCAGTATGCAATATAAGTTGGAAAGTCAGCCAGAACGCTGCATCAGTTTCAGCTTCTCAAGCCACAAACCAGACTCCACTCTTGTAATTCTCGCGCCCCACTTTAGAAGCGCGAACGTCCGGATCTGTTCTCTGCTGCTGCATTCAGGCTGACGACTTCACTTTGCCGAAAGCCAGCGACGAGCTGGAGGCCTCCTGAGCAGCTTAGCAGATCTTCCGGATAGCACGACACTCAATATTGACTGTGCAGGGCCACCAAGATGCTGCGGCAGTGGCTGATGTGTTGTCTTCATCGCCAGCTTCAATTATGAGAAGAGAGGTCTGAAGCTTAGAACTTCTGATCTCTACTACGTTTCATTGGGATTCTCTAGGCCATTTAGGGATCCTGTGCGAACCAAACCTACAGTTCAAGTCAGAAGTCGCTGCCGAGACTATCCCCTAACAATTGTACAACCTCAGATCTGAGCCATGAGACTTTGCCAGGCGCACGATACAGGGTCGAAGGAATTGCCAGCGGAAGTCGCCGCCAAACGATGGTATCCTGGCCTGAGTGCATGGGTTTGGATCCCTGTCGTGTTCAACGTTTGTAGCGTTTTCTGGTCCAGGCTTGGCCTCTATGGGGACTTCAAGCACAGCAAGGCAGAATATTTGCGAAGAAGGGATGCGCCGTAAAGTCAAACTGAGCAAGTCCGCGGTGGGCTGCGCAGAGGTCAGTGGCCAGCGCCAACTGCGGAAGGTTGTGCTTGTGCCAGAGCCTCAGAAAAGCAATGCGCAGCACCTTTGCGCATGGCATTGCCTGCAGAAATGATTAACGTGTAGACTGTCAGCAGCTGACTGTGCTTTCTGTCTTGCTGATTTTCTTGTATTTGCCGGGCGCAAGGCTGCCATGCACTGCTGTGCAGGTTTGTCTTCATGGGTATTGCTGGGCTCTTCATGTTGCTTGCGCTCACGAAGGCCCTGCGCGGTGATGCAATCAGGTTGAAGGAAAGAGGCCCCCCTTTAAATCCTCAATATGCTGGGTTTCTACTAGATTACTGTTTGCAAGCAGTGCAACATGCGGCCAACAACTACGCAGCGTGTCAGGCGGACAAGATCATCCGGAGTGTACTATCGCATGTCAGCACATGCCTGAGAAGGCACGTCTAGGTCAGAGTTGCCAGATTCCTACTAATGCATCCAGAAGATTCTAACAGCCCTGTTCTGCAGGACTTTCATGGTTGTACGCCGGGGCTTGACGCTTGCTTTCCTGAGGTCTCTCCACTGAGCCGACTGGCAGTGAGCTGCAGGACAGAATGCGGGAATCCAACACATGTCCAGCTCTGAAGGTCTTCAAGGCCTTAATGGAAAAATATGGAAAAAACCCAAGGAGCCTGTGGACAAGAAGGGGTCAGAGCAGGCGAATGGTGCACCAGAGGCTGCAAAGGCACTGGCCGGAGCCCCAAACCGTCCATGCTGCAGATGTGTTGTTTTTGCCACCACGTTGTTGCCACGCCGGGTGTTGCTGCTGAAGGCTAACCTTTTGGAAAGCAGCTTGGGACCTTGCGCAGCTAGCCGAAAGTCGCTGGCTCAAGTATTTGGAGTCAGTTGGCAGTTCAATCAATGCCTTGCAAGCCCAGGCTGAGCAAGGAGGACAAGGACGTGGTATATCCCAAGTGACATGGGTCAGGGTCCACTTGAGTTGGGGAATAAATTAGCCGTATGCGAGTTGAAAAAAAGTTGCGTAAACAGGGTCCGCGTTGTTTTTTTTTCCCTGTGCGTGTAAGTGTTGCTTAAGCTCTCACAAGTTTCTATTTCATGCAAGTTTTGCGACGGTTTGTGTCGGAGGTCCTTGAATACTTGATTAATGCTTTGGCTGAGTTTGGATGGTGGGAACAGGTGTCTTTGATGTCTCGTTTCGAGCAAGTTTTCATAGGGTCCGTTGTTGGAACAGGCGACGCGTAAGCGGAAAGCCATAGCATGTAAGTTTGCGCATTGTTTTGCACACCGGTCCTCCTCAGCTCGCGAAACTTTTCATGGCCCACTCTTTTTTGTCACTTTGCGTCTTGTTCGCATTTCTTTTCAAGAAATTTGCTTAAACGACCTTGACATGGTTGTGATGGGGTTGCTGTTTACGTTGTGTGCGATGTATCATGTCTGCTCATCCAATGGGAAGTCTCTCTACAACAACATCTGAAAGCGACGCGACTGAACAGATGGAATGAATGCCTTGGAACCGCCACGCTGCTTCCATGCAAGCCGCGGAAACTAATTAGCCAAACACGATCTTTGGGTCATTTGTGCACGTGACTTGGGCAATGTCACGTGGCGACCATCGTCATTTTCGTATGGTGCCAAATTCACCCTGGCGCTCCAGGAGACAGTTGCCCCCCTGTACATTTGACGTCATGTGACTGATTCAGCTGGCCAGAGAGATTTCAGTCGTACTGCATCAGATGACGGGGCCGTACAGCACCTTGTGACGGCAATGGGGCAGACATGATGGAAATATGGAAGCAACTTGTCTATGAGGAAAAGCTTCGACAGGGAAGATCATGGCAGAAAGGGAAGGGGTTCTGGTCAGATTCAGGCGCAGACTAGAGGCTCTGACCGGACATGCCGTGTGGGACAGCACTTTGTTTGGACTTTGCTGATTGACGCTACCTGCCTGACAAAGCCAGGAAATGTGAGCATGTGCCCCAACTGTGGTCTCTACGCCCTAGTTTCGACACATTTTGTCCTGTTCACCCCGCACTTACACACGAGTGAGGCAAACCAGTTAACCTCAAACCCGAAGCCCAGGGGAGAAGCTTGCTTGCTGGCTTTGCCTCTAGTTCTGTTTCAGTTTCTACCTTAGTCCAAGCGAAACGCGGGATACATTCCCAGTTGCAGGAGTCGTTGCAGTTAAGTCCCGCTGACCTCCTCGCACAGTACTCTGGCCCGGCGATGCTTACAAAGCGTAGCTTCTGCAAACATGAAGCAAGGATCGGTGATTTAATTTTTGTGCAGGGGTGGGTTTCGTGCCAGTTTCCGCATTGTTTTCTGCTATGCCTGAACGGTTTCCGCTGCTCGGCCCGTTTTTGCGCACGGACATTTCCATTTCATTGCAGTCCCCAAAATGGTTTCTGTACGATGTACTTCATTCTGTTCTCCCCGGTTATGCCGCACTGTGTTTGAGTAACCTCGTCTGTTTGAAGCCACGACCCATGTGGAGGAGTTCGATTCGGACACTGGTTCATCCGGAGCTCTGCGATCACGGATCGAGGCCGCTGATTGGCAGTTGACGCAGACGTGGGATGCCTTGGGCATCTTGCCCCGCTCAGGCATTGCCTGTTAGTGCAGCTGCACAGGTGCCCTGAACATCTGCACGTCCTTCCCATTGCTAGCCATCGTGGCGTGAGGTGTGTGTGCTCCAGGTTGAAAGGCTGCTGCCTTCCGCAGGGGGCTACGATGTGACTTTCTCGAAGCCACTCAGCAGCCGACAGCCGGGCGGCCAAGTCAATGTTGAGTCTTCGATCCTTCAGTTCCGAACGGGAACTTAATATCGACCCGCCTTGAGGCTACTGCGCCTGGAAGCAACCATTCAGTGTCCGGCAGGCCTCTCAGGCCACTAAGGCCATCAAGGTCAAGAGAACACGGACTTGCCCTTTCGAGAGATCCGGTGAATGCCAAGGGCGAGGCTGAGCCGCTTCTGGCGCCCTTGACCCAGCGTCCCTGCGTGCTCTACACCGCAACTTGGCCTTAAATGCACAGCAAAAAAAAGCATGACTGTCACATCTGTTGCTGTGGCTCTTCCGACTTTGACTGAGGCCAACGCCTCCCGAAAGGTCCATGGAGGCAACACTGGCAGCCATCAATGCCGTAGACAATTGGCGACTGGATGCGACATTGGAGGTATGCCGCTGCCGGTTGCCTTTGCATCGCAGCACACTGATTTCGTCGTGACCCTTCGTGGCACGCCGCGGGTGGACATCCGAGTTGCCGGCTCTGAGGCCTGACTATGTACATGATGTTTGCACTTCAGACTTACGGTTGATGGTCTCGGATGGACGGTCTGGATTGACTAAGGTGAACCTTTTTGCGACCAAGGAGTGCGAGTTTGCAGAAGCCAGTGTCTTTCAACTCTGCAGTGAGCAATTGGCATGGCAGCAGCATGGTCTATCCGCATCAGCAGTAGGAAATTCTCGAGACCTGTGCAAGGTCTTGCCTTTTCCCTGTGCTCCCGATCATTGGTCAGCTGCTTTGGTGTTCAGAGTAGGGGTAGCCAGATGTGCATCCGTTTGATGCATCTTGCGAAATGAGGCAAGACTTCGTGTCGGCTCATCTATCCTCCGCAGGCTGTAGACGGTGAGATAAACGTACGCCCACCTGGGAGCATGTACAAGAGTCAGGCACTGGCTCTTCAGACAACCATGCAATGGAGAATGGATTGCGGGCCAAGGGCCGCGTTCTCAGAGCATGATGCGCAATAACGGATGCCAGAGGAGTTGTGGATCCGTGTCGCTGACTGAATGCAGACTTGGGCAAGTTGTAGCATTTGAAGACTCCCTGGAGTTTGCACGAACGAGTTGGGAACCCCTTGCAAATTCTTAGCATATTGTACAGGCAGCAAGCCCCCCGCGAGCATTCACAGCATGACCCGTATCTTCATCATTGCTTCTAGGCCAACAGGCTCCTCTATCCTGACTCCTGTCATGCTGCCACAGCCGTAAATTGGGCAGGGTCCCAGCGTAGAGCTGCGCATACGTTGGAACCTGCCCAGTGCCTCCAAATGAGTCTGTCAGAACCCCTGTTCTTGCAGCAGCGAGAAGCTGCGTGACGTCTCAGCATACGCGATGATCCTTTTGCCGACTGAAGCCAACATCATAATGTCATGAATTTTCACATTTGCTTCTCATCTTAATGCCAGCATTTGCAACAGGGCAAAGGATGCTATGAACGCCACAGAAAGTGAGTTAATGAACCCTAATCTATAAACCGTGAGTCTTTGTCTGTATTTCAAACCAGAATCTTTACTACACATTAAATGCACTTTCGGACTGCTGTTGAATTTGCCAGCGTCTCGCAAGTCTGATGACTTAACTGCCAGCATTTGAATTATGTTCGCAACCCATGGAAGGAGGGAGCACGCCAAGATACACAACACGCACTTGCTTTCCGGGATCCTTTGTGATTTTTCAATGGGAAGCTGAACTGAACAGCTTTGTGGTAGTTATCCGAGGTACGCTGGATGTTTTGTTAAATGCAACATGGACAAAAGAATTCCGAGCTATGCAATAGCACCATAAGATTCTTCAGCACAATGAATGTCAGGACTTACAAGCTTGAGATGACTGATGGATTGTGTGTTTCCGTTGCCGGATTGTTGTTCATCACAAGTCCAAGAGGAGAAGCAAGCTAGCATAACTAACCCTGAATGCAAACCCAAAAACCTTTGCTACATGACCCCGCTTATTTACTCGCGGCATCCAGCACCGCTTGTAGAAAAATCGGATAGAGGTGACTGGTGGGCTAGAGGTTATGAATATTATTGGGCTGGGTGTTACGTCCTGGTGTCGGAGCATGGGGCTGAGCTACATGCTGAATACAGGCAAGCAGATCGTATAGCCGAGCTAACTTTCCACCAAGAACTCAGGCACAGCTGTTGAGTTTCACGAATGCTGCCTGGTTACTGGGGCCACGGCTGGGGTCTCTGAGCTGTTACGGCACTTGGAAATTTGAGTGCGCGCTGTCTGCGGCGTGTGAGTCTTGGAACCGCAAGGTCACCCTCATTGGGGAGCTCATGCGGTCCGCCAGCGGTGAGCTCACACTCCAACCGCTCAGCCAAGAGCAGGCGAAGCAAGCATTTTTGTAACAGGTCTATAGACTCATCTCAAAACAGCAGACGTTCTTGACTCTTCGAAGCGAAGCGGTGCGTAGAGCTGGATTCGTGCGCATATGTCCCCAGTGCAGGTGTCCTGGAAACGGCCTTCCTGGGAGAGACCCGGCTTGGGAGCCGAGACGGACGACCCATTGGAGCTCCTCGAGGTCATCTCACTTCATCTCGTTACTCATCACGCTTTGCACCTGCACCCTCTCGCACACAGAGCTGGAATCAAGTCCCATGCAGAGCTGATCAAGGAAAATGACTGGGCTGACTTGAGAGCAGGCCCGGACGCACGTGCTCATCAGCGATGACCCGACACTGCTAACTGTGTTGCCCACAGACCAGGCATGAGCTGAGCTTTGCAATTCAGCAAATCGAACTTTAGCGAGTTGGTGGCGGAAGTGTTCGTTATCTGGATTTGCTACACACAGTGCTGTCTAAAATGAAGAAAGCTTGCATGAAGCGTCCTGGGGAAAGCGCGCTAGGGCAGTCTGTGGCCTCAGAACTGATCGGTGACATTATTTAACATGTCTTGCAAGGGACTTGGCAGCTCTAACGCCCTGGATATTCTGAGATTGCTGCCGCTCAAGGTGGGATGATTTGGCCTGAGCTGCAACAGCAGCCTAGCTGAGCTGCAATACGTGTGCTGCCCCAACTTCGACCTCCTTTGGGACATTCCCCTCTGCGTTGCGCACACTGCCATGTCAAAAGACTTGTCTGATGTTATTTGGGAATGAAGCATCTTATGGTTGCCATGGATTACACCGCCAGCGCGAGCAAAACTTCGAGCTGCATGAATTTCCAAGTACTTGTACAGTGTGGAGGAGTCTAGAAGGTGGCATTCGATCTTGAGTATTCGCTGGGAGTAGCGCGCGCAGGTGAATCAGCGCACGGGCATGAGAGTGCGAAGCTTGGAGGCCCTTTGCGCAGGCCTGGAAATCCTGCAGATGTAGGCTCTGAAGCCAGGACCAGATGGCCCAACAGCAGAAACTTCAGAAGCAGCTGGCGCTCCGGCACACTATGGCCCGCTTGCCAGCCTGCAAGCTGTCAAGCCTGTAATTAGCTGTCAGAAGAGCTCGAAACCGCAGGAGGTCCTCAGGAGGTTGTTGTCCTGTGGAATGACCCGATCAGTCTACAGGTGGCTAAAAGAAATGTGGATGGCCTGCCCGAGCTACCCCTTGCAAAGTGGGAGGACATCACGTTTGAAACCGATGGCGAGATAAAAAACATTGGGATGTGCTGCACTTGAAGGACCAACCGACCCTTGCGCCGCTTGGGGTCAGCCACCGCTGTTGAGCTGGCCTGCGAATCCTGCGATTCGTGTCAGGCTGCTTGTGCCAGGCTTCCCCCTATCCTTTGGCTTCTCCGACACTGGCCCAGGCCGCAGCCCATTCTGCACCTCAAGACTGAAAACTCCAGATACTTCCGCAATTGCTCTTGTCAGCCTCTGGCGCTGTCATCATCGCCGACATACTGACCTGCATTTTCAGACCTAGCAGTGCTCTCGGCCTGTACTAAAAAGTAAATCTGGGCCTTTGCAAATCCCGAAGGGTTCTTCAAAGACGACGTGGCAAAGCTCCACAGTTGATTGAGGGCTCACCCAAGCCACAAAGGTATGGCTGCATGGGATAAAAGATTCGTGCAACTGCTTGAATCTCGAGAGCGTTAGGTTTTGTGGCTGTTGTTGTCTTTCTGGTACGACACCAGTACAAGTTTAAACCTTGTGCTGCGCCGCGGCAGCTTTAATTTTGGCTCCCCTTGCAGCCTCTTGAGACCACAGAATCTAGACTTTTGCTTTGACACGATTCAACGAGGACTTTGCCAGCATGACCCCGGGCGACTCTGACTCAGTGCCCCAATCGCAGATACGAGGAAAGCACCACAAAGAGCAATTTTCGCATCACTCCTTGCGTCGCACCTGGTGGATGGATGTCCCAGGATGTGGCTGGCGGGATCCCCGGACATAGCTTGCACTTGTCGAGTAGCTAGGAGCAGGAAGCAAAGGCAGTGAGCTGCTTGGCAAAGCACGTGCACTGCCCTGTCTCAGGGACCTGGTGATCAGCCCGGATCCCTTTCTTTCTGGTTGCTGGTGCTCACCTTCGCTTGTGCCTGAGTTGTAGCAGCCCAGAAAAGTAGGCTAGCTAGCAGGAGCCTGCTGTCAAGGTTGTGGTGTCTTCCATTCTGCTGAAAAGGCTCGACACATTTGTTTTGATATGATGGCGATGCAAACCTGTACGAGTGCAAAGAGAATCACTCTGAAGGATAAACAGCAAGGTGGACTTTGCCGTGGAGGCTCTAAGAAGGTTCCTGTGAACGATGCGGGACTTTCTAGCCGCCAGGTTCTTTTTCGGGCCTTGGAGCTGTTGCGAGGGACTCAGTTTTGCATCAAGGCTGTTTGAGCCAACTGCACTCATCAAGGTGGCTTTACGCGCCTCTGGTCCCCTTGCTCGCAGTAGCTCTCGTGGCAGTGGCCTGTCAGCACGTTTGACCTGGCTTGACCACCCCAAGGTCCGAGTTAATGTGACCCTGCAGCGCAGGACCGCATTCCACTGGGAAGCGCCGATGCCAGGCCTTCCAGGCATGAAAATCTTGTGCTGAGCAGGGCTTCAGCTTTTCCATTCTTCAGAATTCAGAGAGAACGCAGGCAAGACCCGCCCAGTTGGGCGTCAACCTTAGCAGTACTACCTTTCGTGTTGAGATTTGACGTTTGGATGCTATAGCGCAGCAGAGGAGCCTTTACGTATTTTGTCGACTGATTCCTGTGCAACTTTGCAACATGGTTTCTTTGCATGAGGTGGACTGGTGGTGGGCGCTAGCATTGCGCAAGGTCTCGGGCCCAGTGCGCATGCAGCAGTATGAACAAACCTTGCACCATTTTGGGAGTGGATGTGTCAGGTGCAGCGCAGTGGCCCTGTTTTCGTAAAGCTGGGGCGCTAGTTTGATATGAACCTTGTGTGCATCTTGCAGGCATTCCCATGTCGTGAGGCTTGGTCAATGGGCAGCAACCCGACCTGACCTCATTCCAGAGGACTGGGTAGCTGCCGAAAGCCGAGCCCTAAACAAGTCAACCCCTAAACCGTTCAACCCCTAAACCCCCAAACCCTAGACCCCTATAACCCCTAAACCATCTAAACTCCTAAACCCCTAAACGCAACGTGAAGCCGTCATCTCAGCCCCTCAACTTTTCGGTTCTTCAGGACATCTGCTCACGGCTCGGGCATCTGCACGACAGCACGGAACCACACAGCCTGAAGCACACTCACAAGGCAGCAGTCCATCTATTTCTTCATGCTCGTTGCATTCCGGCTCAATTATGCACCAAGTTTGCCTGCGCAGGTGTTGAGCGAATCTTTTTCAGGGACGCCGGGCTGCCAAGAACCCTGTGGCCAGTGCACACACTGAGAAAAAAAATCCTGTGTGGAGCTCCTGCATGGGGCCCTGAGCTGCAGGTGGTTCCGGCAAATCCTCATTGAGCCAGAGCCTATAGGACCGCCGGTGCATTCTGAGTTAGGACAAGCTGCGGAAGCAGCTCGTGCTGACGACAGTTTTGTTTGCTGAGCACGGCTTTCTGCACTACGCATTTGCGCAAAGAAGAAGCTCCAGAAACTGAGCAAGTTGAACCTGTCATTTTTTTGATGGGCACGCCGTGCCATGCCATGTCTCAGGATCTGGATGCATTGCGCAGGCGCGGGGGTAGCACGAATATCATGATAGGCAGTGAGTGAAGTGCTTGGACCTCGCCTGTGCCCTGAGCACAGCTTTGTTTCCTTTGCGGGTATCTCATCGCACTAGCTATGATGGCTGTGTTACAGCTTAGTCAAGTCAGCGACTCCACGGCCAATGAAATAGCACAAGAGCTTGCAGAGTCAGGTGTTGCTAAAGGTCCTGAACACCAAAACTAAAATCAGTTTAAAGAAACAATGAAACGCGCAAAATCGGATTAAGACTGATTAACATCAACGAAGGAATTAAGATCAATAGCACACCTAATGAAATCAATTAAAACCTGACTTACATAAGCTCAATTCGAACTTAGATTTCAAATGAAGTCCATGATAAAAATCAATACCAACCTGCAACAAACATAGGACATTAAGGAGATCTGGGAGGAGGGGGGGTGCTTGGGTGACATCATCCGTCGTGAGACAGGGCAGCCCACTGCACGACTGCAATTCCACAGCTCCCCTCCCCGTCCACTTGTTTCGCTCCAGTCGTTGAATGGATTTTGGGATTTTCAAGGTGTTTTTTTTTTTTTTTTTT